ATAAGTCTCTAGGTTTGAATTTACAGTCTTGTTTTAATCTAGGTCTTAGTTGAGAATCAATGCTTCAATGATAAATCTGTAAGGAAAAGTAGAAACCATCTGGATATGTGCGTTGCTAACCTTTCCATATAGACTGCACTTTATCGTCTCATGGGTCAAGGTGGGTCAGAGGAGCCGAAGTTGCCCCATCCACTTTCCTTACTCCCCCTGAAGGTTTTGGGGTCTCCTTAGAAGCTGCTGGCTGGGCACCCCTCCACAGGAATGCCTTTTGTGAGCTGTGGCTCACATGGCTGGTTTGGATCTACGTAGGCTCTGATTACTTGTACAGTTCTGTCATGGGCTGTTGGGTGCAAAAGAGAGAGAGAGAGTAAGATGTGTTGCTCTTTGGAGGAAAAGCCAAGTCCTCATTTAAGGTGGAAACAAACAACAACAACAAAAAAAAAAACCCCAGAAAACCCAAGATAATGAAGTGTTCTTGGTGGGCAGAACATTCTGTACTTTACAGACTCCAGTCTCAGAGCCAGAACAGTGCTCTCAGGCTGTGGAACTGGGGGCCCAGACAGCCTGTGCCTCTGAGAGCCAGCATTGTTGCAGATAAGCTCATTTGTTTCTCTTGGTGTTTGCCCAAGCTTTTGGGTTGGAATAATTTCCATTCACAGAATAATGATTTATTAGAAGCTGAGGAAAATGTTGAAGGGAAGGCGGGGCCCTTTTATCTGTTGTTTTATGCTGTCTGGGTCAATTTTTTGAGCAAATATCAATGACTAAATTGTGGTTGATCTTGTCTTTAAAGTAAAAAAGAGCGCTGGTAAATGTGGGGAGGGGAAGGGGATGACCAGGCGTGTAAGAGCAGGGGAAGCAGGTGCTTTCCACTGGCGGCAAGTGGGTGCATGCAGACTGTGTGCTGGGGCTCCCGGAGTTATTGTTTCAGAACAACCAGGAGGTAGAAGAATCCTCCTGTGATTGGATAAATTAGGATTTATGGGGTTGATTGGGCTGCACACCTGGGTTTGAGGTGAACAGGTGGCCTGCAGCCCTTCCTACTACATCCAGAGTGGTACAATGGCTGGGGTTTAATCTGGGACTGCTATGGAGGCCTCGCTTAGAGTGTAGGAGGCCCCCTGCAGAAAGGACACATAGTCAGTGGGACATGGCTCCATGGTCTTGAGGGAGCTAGCCATTTGCAGAAGGCCCCAGGGACTGGAAACAGATGGTGGAGAGGTCTAACCCTAGAAGGGAGGGGCAGAGCCTAGGTAGACCATAGCCCAATGTCAAGGATAGGCTTACCCAGCAGGGTGAATAGAAGATACTAAAGTCAGCCCCTTCCCCCACCCCAGCCCATAGCATTGGTTCAACCAGTGCAGCCCTGCTCATTCCCTTGGGAGACAAGCCTGACCACAGGATTGCCCTTTGGTGGCCCTGCAGGGGTGATACAAAAGGTTTGGGTAGACTGGGGCTTCCCAGATTTAAATGTCCAGATCAGGCAGCACAGAGTGGGCTGTGAGGTGTTCTCAGTAGGGTAGCCACATAATCTATTGTGCAACCAGGGTACTTTTGAGAGTGAAAGGTGGTCCTATTAATAGTTATGCAGGGATGGGCAGGGGTGGGGGTGGGAGAGGCAGTAAATCAGAACTGCCCCAGGCAAACTGGCCTGTGTGTTCACTCTAGTCATCAGGCTATATCTAATGCTTACTTGAAGTTAGTAAAATATAATTCTCTAGTAGCCATGATGGTGACTGAATTGCAGACTTAATTTGCCATCAAATCCCTGGATAGCTCATTTGAGCCCTGAGAATCCTTGCAAGGTGAATCAGTGTCACCTCCTTATAGGTCTCCAAGGTTCAGAGAGAGACCCCAAGTGGTCTCCACAGGCAGCATGCTGAGGG